ATACTTCATCCTCTTTCCAATAATCGTAAGATCCTTTTAAATTTATTTTTTGTATAAAGTCCTTCTAGAGCTCTCTATGAGCGAAGGTCGTGAGTTATACATTAACAGTGAAGGATTGCAGATCATCTGCGATCCAGCGACAGGCAAATATTATAAAGTAATTGAATATGATCAACATAATTCCTTAGTAAATTACCGTCATCAATCGTCAAAGTCCAATCAACACCATAATGGAAGCTCAATCTCAGCTTATCACTCGGATCGAGCCCGTTATGATGTACAGTCAGTGTCTAATCAGCAATTAAATGCAGTAACGCAACAGACAACATCTAATCAAAAGAAAAAGATACAACAAACAGTCACGTGGAATAGTGACACAGAGCAAAACTATTCTCATCGTACAGCAAATGGAAATTCCAACACGCCACTTGAAACAGAACAACAATAAGATCAATCACCACGTGCTTGCTTGAATGATGGTATACAAGATGACTCACATCAAGATGCAGTAGTAGTGGCAAATAAGCGTTCTCCAAATGACAGCGACGACTTCATCACAATCGGATCAAACAAATCGAGAAAGAAAGTATACAATGAAGGTCAAGAACATTATACTACTTCAAGATCTTCTCTCGGCAACAATTTAAACAATTATGATGTACCATTAGATTACCTCCAACGAGCAATTATAAACAATTGACCATGCTTCTTCATTAATTTCAGCCAACCCGATAGTCTACCGTCGGCCATTGCAGCCTCAGAAGAGTTATATAATCACTTCGAACAGCTACAATTAAAACTCAACAGTGGATTCTCAATGGTCCGTTACATGGGAAACCAACTTAAAGTTGGTGTAAATGATAAAGAGGATTATCTCACTCTTTGTAACCAAAAGTTTTGGCCGTTAGAAATTCAAAAGAAAAAACAGAAAAAGTAATTACACCAAAATTCATACCGGATCAGTTCTCACTTGTTGTTCGTTATATCCCCAAGGAATTCTCAGCTGAGCAAGTAGCTAAAGAAGTTAAACAATCAGCTATACTGCTAACAACTTTCGTGCAATTATATACTCGTATCCTCGGTCAACGAATGATTTTAGATTCACAGTCTCAGATTTAAAAGAATATAATGGTTTACTTCGTTTGGGTCACATCGGTATAGGAAACAAAATGCATGCAGTTACACCATACAAACCAGCTAATAAACTAACCTATTGCACAAAATTTTGGACACTGGGACATATTCGCGCTCATTGTAAACAACAAAACCAAAAATGTAAAATATGCTTACTTGATTATGATGAAAAACATAATAATGTGTGCTCGAAGGAATACCAATGCGCACAATGTCATCTCGATCGCTACTCACTCGACTCATGTTGTCAGGTAATCGGACAATACCGAAGCAACCTCAATCAAGCAGGTAATCAAGCCGTCAAAGATGATACAATCAAACGTATAAAAATCGAAAAAGCTTCAACATCAATAACACCCGGTCCACACTTCGATAGTCTCTCGTTCCCACCGTTACCATCTACATCAAGCAAATCAAATCTTCCCCGAAAATTGCCATGGACCACAACAACAAATATACCCGTCTCAAATCAGCAAGAACATGATATTACCAACCAACAACTGTTCGAAAATCTATGCACGCATCTTGATGAAAAATCACAAAAGTTAGAATCGAGAATGATCAGGGTTGAACAAGATCTGCACGCAAAAGAAAAGTCAATTACGGATTTGCATCAGTCTCTCTAATGTGGTAGAGGTTCTTAAAACATTAATGCAAGAAATAATTCATCCACTAGCAAAATCAACTTCCAAAACAGAGAAACAGTCGATAATATTACATCAATCTTGAAAGCACAAGTGGAATTATTACAAAAAGAGATTTTCAGTGATGACAATCAACTTGGAAAAAGAAATGAATGCACAGATAATCAACAACCGATAGAAAATATTCACATTCCATTAATATAAACTTAAATATATAATGCTCAATCCAAACGCTTCTGCCTTTGCTTGTGCGTATAATGTAACGCCAAGTCTGATGTTAGCAGCACTAGATAGACTTAAAAGGTGTCAAATCTCAGATAAAAAATTACCAATTAATCCTCTCCCCCTTATCAGAATGTTATTCATCATTCATCTTAAACAATGTCCTTGAACAATAGGAAGAACACAATCATAATGTCAAAAATACAGAAAATAAACATTCAACCCCGTTAACTTTTATCCTATATAATGTGCAAGGACTAAAGTCATGTGCTTTAGAAGTTTTAGAACTTATTCACTAATTCGAAACATCATTTTTTATATGCACGGAAGTCGGAGAACAATGGAATACTCAGCGGCTACCTGATTATAATATTTTCTACGAAAAAGGAACAAGTAAGAATGGATGAGTAATTATAGCAGTAGGTAAACATCTTCAGGCATCTAAGGTAGAAACAAACATGGAAAACACATTAGTAATAGATATATTCGGTCTCAACGAACATCTAAAAGTGATAGACATATACTGGCCAGTTAGTCAAAAGCGGCACATAAATGAGATTAGTCAGTTCATTACCAACAACACATTAATAGCAGGCGACCTCAATGCAACAGTGACGCAATGGAATAGCCCAAAAACAGATAAAAGAGGAGAATTAGTAAAAAGGTGGAGTGAAAACAATAATCTACAATATATACACTGTACGAAAAATTCATCTAAAAGATCCTCTCGTAACATAGACTTGACCTTCACAAATTTCGAAGGTGTAACAGGAGAAACAATCGAGTTTGGCTCTAGTGATCACTGGCCATTGGTATATAAGTCAGAGCGAATATATTTTGAAACAGTAAATAAATTTCAAGTAGTTAGATGGAAAATATACGAGTTTCTTCTTTGTCTATTTCAAGACTATTGGATTAAAGAACTTCAGTACGATAATTCACTTCAGTGGTACAGAGATTACATAAGGTTTCTAGCAGCACTTAAAAATCGCCTTACTGTTTGGCACAATAAAGAGAAATGGAGACCATCATTACCGCCTGAGATTTTAGAAAAATTAAAACAAATTAAAACAGTAAAAAAAAAAAATAGATTTCATCGTCACCGTTGTGAAGAAGACAGAATTGAACTACATCAGAAGACAAGAGAAATTAGAAAAGAGATAAATGAGTACAGATCACATCGATGGAATGAATTCCTCACAACGATTCAAACGAATAAAGAAAAATCAAGTCATCTTTTTTGGAAGCATTTATCACGCATATATAGACCTAGAACTGTACCATTCAACAAACTAGCAGTCAAAACTTCACTTTTAACGTCACAAAAAGAAATAACAGAAGAATTATTTGATTACTATAAAAAAACTCTATGTTTCGCCGAAGATATACCAGAAGAATACACACGATGCACAAATCTTGTGTGAATACAACAAAATTTTAGCAGATCTATCGAAGTGTGACAAAAATATTAGATTAACAATTACATATGAAATAAAAAGAATAGTGCAAAAACTAAAGCCGAAAAAATCTACTGGTGTAGACAATATCTCAAATTTTATAATTAAAAACTTCCCCCATCATGTTTAGAATGTTTAAGTAGATGTTTCAATGATTGGATGAGTAACTACCTATATATTAATGACTGAAAAACTGCTAAAATTATTACTCTAAACAAGCTAAAATCAGGTATTCCACCTTGCGAACAAACTAGATCGATCTCACTTCTAGCTACACACTCGAAAATTTTCGAAAGAATCCTATTAGAACGAGTGAAGAAATGGACCGAATCAAATAATATTATACCTTCTGAACAGTCTGGGTTTCGTAAAGGTCGTCTGCTACAAACAATAGTGCTCTCGATATACCAAGAGATAAAAAATAACCTTGCAGGAAATATACCCACGTTAGGTATCTATATCGATTATAAAAAAGCGTACGATCTAGTGTGGTATATGGGATTGATTGTAAAATTATCCCGAATGCAGTTTCCTACTGAATTATTGAAACTAATTCTCAGCTGGTTAATCAACAGACAAGCATATATTTCCTTCGGAAATGTAAAATCAGAAGTTTTTAGGTTACATGTGGGCCTTCCGCAAGGAAGCTCACTCAGTCCATATATTTTCATAATCTATCATGCAGATATAGTGAATAATGTTGGAGCTTTTTCTACACACCTCTTTGCTGACGATCTCAGTACTCTAATAGTGCCTCCGATTCAGAAAAGGCACCAAGAGATGATTAATTTCATCAGCTCAGCAGGATCCAAAGTTTGTCAAAATCTCTTCGAGTACTCTAACAGATGGAAACAACCGATAAACATCTCAAAAACAGTGATTCAAATTTTCTATTCGTCAGTGAAACGACCCAAAGTAGAAATAAAATGAACAACTGCAAACTAGAAACAGTGAAATCTTTCAAATATCTAGGATTCACATGGACTGAT